GGCGGGTCTCGAACCCGCGGGCTTAGGCAATCCATTCACCTCAGCCTCCCAAAGGCGTGGGATTACAGGCTGAGCCACCGAGCCTGACTGCGAGATCTCATCTTTAAAAAAAAAAAATTAGCCAGGTGTGATAGCACATGCTTGTAGACCCAGCTACTTAGGAGACTGAGGTGGAAAGATCACTGGCCCAGGAGGTTAAGGCTGTGGTGAGCCATGGTTGTGCCACTGCACTCCAGTTTGGGTGACAGAGTGAGACCCCAACTCAAAAAAAAAAAAGATATTGACCCATTGCTAACCATCATATTAGTGTTTGGATTTTTATTGTGTGTGGTCACTGTGCCAAGTATAAACACATTTAGCCCATGAGGAATTATTCAAGCCGAAAAAGACTCCATTATTTTGTCCATTTCACACAGAAAGAAATTGAGGCTCAGAGAGAGCTAGTGAGTTGCCCAGAGCTACCCCACAGAGCTTCCCCACAGGAAGAGTTAGAGCAGATCCAGGGTAGGAGAGAAGTCCTAGGTAGACCAAAGACACCTTGATGTTTGCATAGTGATGCATGAAAAAGCATCCTCCCAAGAGCTCCCATTTTGAAAAGGGCTGTTATGTACAAGAATATATTCCCTGTGTACCTGTACTCACAACTAGGTTTATCTGTGTCCTTCCTAGACACTAAGCATGAGGCCACACACTGCTCACAGGCTCTGGGGTCCCCACTTCTACATCCCCTCCTCACCCAGCTTTCCTCCTCACCACGACCCCACCTTTCCTCCAAGGGAAGCTCACACAGAGTCTAGGGCTCTGGCAGTCACTGCCCGAATCCTTCCTTCAGCCTCAGTCTGTCTCTCCCAGATGCTAATGTCCCCCCAGCCTAGCTCTGGATCTGCTTCAGACTCTCCTTGCCTGCACACCCATACAAGCACCTCAGAAATGGTCTGGCGTAAGTTACCTGTGCTTCACGTTCTCCACCAAGCCTACTCCTACTCCACCTCTGCTCTCGATTTCACCCTGTAGCCCCACTATCCTTCCAGTCCAAACCTGAGAGTCATCCCCAACAGTTTTTTCCCTTTCACTCAACCCTCCCCATTCAGTTCCTGAGTCCTGACAATCCTCTGTTCTGACTTCTAACAGAGTTTGTCTAAGATCAGTATTATCTCTTCCTTAAACGTTTGATAGAATTCACCAGGAAAACCATTTGGGCCTGGAGTTTTCTTTGAGGGAAGATATTTTAAGATTGACTTTAAATTCTCCCTCCCTTCTTCCCCTTCCTTCCTTCTTTCCTTCCTTTCTCTCTCTCTCTCTCTCTCTCTCTCTCTCTCTCCCTTCCTTCCTTCCTTCCTTCCTTCCTTTCTTTCTCTCTTTCTTTCTTTCTTTCAGTTGGGGTCTTACTCTGTCGCCCAGGCAAGGCATAGATCACAGCTCACCTCCTGGATTCAGGCAATCCTTCCACTTCAGCCTCCCAAGTAGCTACAACTACAGATGTAGGTCACCACACCTGACTAATTTTTTTAATTTTTATTTTTTGTAGGCATGAGGTCTCACTATGCTGCTGAGGCAGGTCTTGAACTCCTGGGTTCAAACATTCCACCCACCTCGGCCTCCCAGAGTGCTGGGATTACAGGCATGAGCCACCATGCTGGGCCTTGACTTCAAGTTCTTTAACAGATATATGGCAATTTAAGTTTTCTGTTTCATCTTGTGTCAGTTCAATGCTCTTTTTTTTATTTTTCAAGACAGAGTTCACCTCTCAAGTACCTGGGACTACAGGTGCATGCCACCATGCCTGGCTAAATTTTTAAAAATTTTTTTTAGAGATGAGTTTGTAGAAACAGGGTCTTGCCATGTTGCCCAAGCTAGTCTTGAACTACTGGCCTCGAGCGATTCTCCCACCTTGGCCTTTCAAAGCACTGGGAGTACAGGCATGAGCTACTGTGCCCAGCCTCAATCCTCCTTTCTAAATCTCTCTCTCCATCCCTCATGCTACTGCCCTACATCCAGGTTCCAACACACCTCCAGAAAACAGGCACACATCCTCACACTGATCTGCCTTGTGTCTTGTCCTCATACCTAGACTTCTTCCATGAGGGAAGCTTTCTAAAATGCAGACTGGATTAGTTCACATACTCTGCTCAAATCTTGTCAGTGACCTGGTTCTCATCAATCTCTGGTCTCATCTGCCACTCCCCACCTTGAACTTTATGCTGTAATCATATAAGCTGCTATGGTTCACACACACACACACACAGAGGCACTCACACACTAAGCTCATGTACAACTTCTTGACTTTGTTCATGACATTGCCTCTGCCAAAACACCCTTCCCGCCTTTTTCCCCTCTAAGCTAAGTCTCCCTCAGCCTTCCAGATTCAGCTCAAACTCAATAGATCCAAAACTCAGCTCAATGACCACTCCTAGTTCCTCCTCCTTATTTACCTGGCCCCACCCAGTTCTTTAAACTAGGAACCTGGGCATCACCTCCAAGCCCTCCCTCTCCCTCATCCTTCAAGACTCAGCTTAGGCATCTCCCTCCACCAGGAAGGCTTCCTGGCTTGCCCAGGTAGGCTTCTCCTTTGTGCCACTAGAGCACCGTGTTCATATCTCCCTCTTAGCATTTACCTGTCAGATGGCTGTTATCCGTGTGTGTATTGGCCTCTCCAGAAGATCGGAAAGTTCTTGTGGGTAGAGACCATATCTCATCTATCCCTCTACCTACAGAAACTCAGCAGGGTTGAACAACAGAGCCAGTTTCCCCATCCCCCGCTAGCCAGGGCCAGCACAGCTGACTTGGGCGCAGGTACCTGGGATTCTATCATAGTCTCGAAGCTGCCGTTCGACATAATCCCACTTTAGGATGGTACAGGCACTGATACTTGGCTGGGCCAGAGCCAAATAGAGGTCACTGGAGTAAAGAAAGGGCTCGGCGGACACTGCTGGGAAGGACAGGGTCTGGTACAGCACGAAATCTGCAGGGACGAGAGGGGGGAGTGGGGCAGGCGTTCAAGACCAGAGGGAGGAGGGAAGAGCTGGCAGGGGGCAGAGTTAGCGGTCCCCTGATGGCGGAGGCCGCGTGTTGCAGGGCAGGGCCGCCTTGGGGGAGGCCCAGCCTGATGCCCTAGGCAGGGGCACCGCCTACCCGTGGTGATGCAGTCGAACTCCCGCAGCGGCAGGTCCTGCACCTTGTGGTCCTGGAAGCGGGGCGGGCTGGCACAGTAGATGGGCGCCACCGTGGTGTTGGTGTGTGCCAGCCACTCCACCAACCACTTCACCTTGCAGTCACAGTTGAGCGCATTGCCCCGCAGATCCCTGATTTCAAGGGCAGTGAAGAGGGACACAGAGAGGGTCAGATTCTCAGGGATCTGCCCAGCCAGGACCTCGAGGTTTTCAGAAGTAGATCTCATCAAGGCTGCTTCGAGTTGCTCACACGTATCTTTGTGCCCCGATTAGAAAAATCTCCCCTCCTGGTGGATGCAGCCAGGCAGACACAGGCTCAGCCAGTGGAGTGTGGCTCAGTTTCAGCACCTGCTTGCCTCTTTGGCATGCCTTTTGCAGTGTGCAACCTACACAGCTGTAGGTTGCACCCCTGTTCCTTCAAGCCTCCCACAATCAAAGGCTTTGCTTTCTTGTATAAGTAATAAGTGATTGTGGCTGTGCTATAGCGCTTTAATGTAAATTCAAACCAAACATACACATAAAAAAAGCACTTTTTTTTTTTTACTCAGAGTCTCACTATGTTGTCCAGGTTGGTGTGCAGTGGCATGCTCTCAGCTACCTCAGCCTCGACCTGCTGGGCTCGGGCAATCCTTCCACCTTAGCCTTCCAAGTAGCTGGAACCACAGGTGTGTACCACCATGCCCAGCTAGTTTTTTTTATTTATTGTGGAGATGAGGTCTTGCCCATGTTGCCTAGGCTGGTGTTGAACTCTAGGCTCAGACAATCTCTTGCCTCTACCTCCCAAAGTGCTGGGAATACAGACAGGCATGAGTCACTGCACCCAGCTTTAAAAAACACGTGTTTTAAACACCTGGTGTCTCAGGTGCATTTTGAGAGGAACTCACCATCTGTATTTAATTTGACCTCACCTTCTCAGAGATCCCCCCAAACCCAAGCCATCCCAACCTCTCAAGACCTTATGATCATCCCACATCTGACTCCCACACACTACCCCCGGGGATATTCCCTTTGTGGCACTGTTGAAGAGGTAAGACTCAGGCCTTACAAGTCACTCAGTATGTCCAGGGGTCGAAAGATGTCTCTGGGCAGTGTCTGCAGGTTATTGTTGGCCAGTGAGCTGCAAGAGAGATCCCTGGGTCACTTGAGGATCATAACTGAGGCCAAAGGCCACAGGAGATGTAGGGCTTTGGTCCAGTTTGTGTGCGCTATACTCACAGGTGTGTCAAAGATTTGAGTCCTCGGAAGGTAAACTTGGACAGTACCCAGATGTCATTGTTCTCAATGAAGCTGGAGAAAGCGAGAACTTGTCTCAACTGCCACTCAGGATCCCAGAGCCCCAAGCAGCAATTTCCCTACACCCCAGCCTAGATCCAACCCGTATCTCCGAGGCATGATTCCATAGGGGGTCTGGCACCATTAAGTCTGTAGTGCCAGGGCGTCAGACAGGATGGTATAGGCAGCATGTATGAAATGACCTTCTGCTCAGGTCCTGCAGCCAGAAGATTCTGAGGCTCTCACTCACCCCCACTCTTCTAGCCCCCTCGTCCTCCTCCCCCTTCAGCCCCTGGCCACCCAGGCCTGGGCTCCCCACTCCCTTCTGTTTTCCCATCGCCCTTTCCCTCCCACACACAGGTACTGCAGGTGTGACAGTCCTGTGAAGGCGTTGTCTCCAATCAGCGTGAACTTGTTGGAGTTGAGTAACCTGAGGAGACAAAAGTGGAATTAGAGCATCCAAGGGTGTGCTTGCTGCCCCAGCCCACCAGCCCACTGCCTTGCCCTGGGCTTCCTAAAGACCTGGCTGTCCTGCAGCCATCCCCAGGGACCCTGGCCAAGAGTCTCTGGGCCAACTGGACAACAAGACCAGATAGGAGCCTGGTCCAGCCCCAGAAGCTCTCGGGGTCCCTTTGGCTCCTAAACATGGGTGAGAGCAGAGTTCCCTGTCCCTCATCCTCAACCCAGCCCACTCTAGCCCCTCATGGACAGACCTTGTAGAATTCCAGATGCTCCCGTCATCCCTCTCTTTCAGCCCCCAGCTCTTTCTTCAAATCCTGACCCCTGGGGTCACCTGTCTCTAAGATGATACCCCCCACAGTGTCCACCTTTGGCATTGACTCAGGCTATTGCACCCAATTTTCTCAAGTCTCCAGAGGCGCCAAGTCTTTCCCCAGACCCCCTTCTTGGCTTCTCCATGCCATCCCTCTCTCTCCTCACCTGCTTCCCGTGACTCCTGACTCCAGACTACTACGCCTTTTATGGTGAATCCCATGGGAGCAAAAGTTAGGACCCTTGCGTCTTCATCTCCAGAGGCTGCTTCTGTCCCCTCCCTCTCCCCTGCCCATAATCTGTCTCCTGCCATCACCCCCCACTGCACCCCACCCTTCTCAGGTCCTGTGCCTACAAGAACTGCAGCAGCGGCAGGTGGGAGAACGCTCCATCCTGGATCTCAGAGAAGGCGGCATTCACCAGGGTCCTGCAGGGGACATCTGAGTCAGTACAAGGGGCGTCTGAGGGATGGCACTGGGGCAGTGAGAGGTGGGCAAGGCAGCGGGTTCTGGATTCACTTGCCCTGGAAACGCCCTGTTTCCCCAGCCATGGCTCCCCATCAGCACATCTTTCCCTTCTCCTCCAAAATCCACAGCCTCCCTTCACTGTGACCCTCCCCTACTGCCTCCTGGAGCACCAGCGGCCCCAGGCTCAGCTTTCCTCTCAGCCAAGAGAAGGCTCTGTCACCAGCACTGGCTGTGTCATCATCATCATCCAAGCACCCACAACGTGCTGGGTGCTGTTGCGGGATGAGGCACTGGGATGGGGGTGGAGCACACTAGCATCCTGCTGGCAAGGACCTGACGGCCTCTCTGGTCCCACTTGCCCTCTGGCAAGGGAGGAGGGGAGGCCTGAAGCTGGATGCTGCAAGTGACAGGCTGGCCGGGTGGGGTGCCGAGTGGCTGGCCAGTGGCAGGCGTGTGCCCCGTGCCAGCATGCTGGGAGGGCACAGCTCACATCCCCTCTCCCCCTGCTACCATCCTCCTCCCCCGCAAGGAGCCCTTCTGCCCTTGGTGTGACATCACAGACAGAGCCCACTGCGCATGTAAACAACTCCTCCCAAGTCCAGAGTGCGGCACACAGTAGGTCTCACTGAGGGTGGTGAGCGTTCGTTCCCGGCCATCAGCTCCTGCTTTCCCCAGCCGTGGTGCTGAGCCTGCAGGACTGAGAGACTCCCTGCCAGACTTGTGCCCGGAATCTCAGAGGACCCCTGGACCCCCGTCCCCACACTCTGAAGAGGGGCAGCAGGGCTTCTCCCACCCACCCCCGGGGCTCCTCTAGCCCTCCTGCCCCTTGCCACCCCACGGCCAGGGCGGGACACTCACAGGGAGATGACCTCCGAAGGCAGGTTCCTGGGCACCGCCTTAGAGTCCACGCAGAAGGCGGTGTCCCTGGTGCAGGAGCAGCTGG